TGCATACACAAAAATAAAATAATAGAAGAGAGAAGAGCATTAAAAATAGATATAATTAATAAAAATAGAAAAATAGATATAATTAAGGAGAAAATTGATCATATTTTTTGTCCAATTTATACTTGGAAAATAGCTAATAATGAATATAATCACAATTAATTTTCCAAAGTTATAACTTCAACTATTAACGTCTTTTTTAGATATTTTATGGTGGTGAAATGAAAAGTTCCAACTTCCAAATGCTTTTTTGATTATATTCATTTATTAATTGTATTTTTATAATTTAACATATTTATAAAATATGTTAAATTAGATTATAAAAGCAATCAAAATGTATAATATGAAGTAAATTTTAAAGGAAAGCTATTCGAAGTAAATGGCAAATTCATTGTAAAGCATATCGTAATCCCACCAAATGCAACATTTTCATCAGCAAGAAAAAAGTTATAAAAACAAAACAAACATATTATAACTTTTCCATAAAATAAGAATTAAAATATCGTAATTGAGTTACAAGGTATATGATGAGCAAGTTTGATAGATTTTAAGTTGAAGGAAAAATTTTTATTTTTATAGAAAGTATTTGACATAAAATGTTAAGAAAATAAGGCGTCTGGTGGCAATACAAAAATAAATAGCCATTGCATAATCACAACTGAAGCAAAATCTTAATTAGTAGAAGAGTAAGTATGGAAAAATTTAAATATAAATATTAGGCACTTTTATTAAAATTAACAAAAACCAGTATTTAACAGAATATCATATAATAGTCAATCATAGACATTTCATGCAAAATTTTAAAAAAACTTTTGCATAATTTGTAGCCTATGTTAGCAAGTAGTAATTACTGTAAGTTTCAATATAATAAATTAAAAATAATAAACGTTTTGCGATAAACAGTAAATGTTAATCTAATCACTGCTGCGTCGAAGAGAAGAAATTGTTTGGTAACCACTGTACCTCATCCATAACCCATTGCTACAAATTTTTGAATTAATTTTTAATTGAATGAAAAAAATAAAATAAGCTAGCGCAAACGAGTGAATTTAAAAATTTATCAAAAGTATGAAAATGTAAATTTAATAAAAAATACAATGTAAGAAAAAAGTAAAGCGAAATTTACTTGATTCAATTCACCACGTGTACATTCACTTAATGTGGGTGTTAAAATAGTTATTGCACGATGACTACTTAAATCTTCGGAAGGTTGATCTAAACACAGTCCACTTTTAACGTGATGGAAAGATTTTCTCTGAAAATACAAGCAATTAAAATTTTTGAATGCTGAAATAGGTTTATACTTCAAAATTAAGGTTTATTCATAAGAAATTTGCATATAAAAATATTTTTCATCATCGTTCATTTAATAAGATATATTATGCACTATTTTTTAATAAAAATCTTGTATCTTGTGTTAACTATAATCATAAATATAATGATAAATATTACGTATATTCTAAATTTTAAAACCTACGGCTTTTAAAATCTTGAACTAGCATGAATTATTATTTAGTTATTCGGCTATTTATTCTTCATACTTAAGCATATGCTTCATATTATTAAAATCTTCAAGATGTGAAATGAAACATATTATTTATTGGAACTAAATTTTTATACTTAAGAAATTAATTAACCATACAAATGCATCAAAATTAAATTAATTTAGAAGATTAAAATTAGTCATCCAAATTCTGTTATCGCCACTAAATCCTTTTTTTTTTGCATTTTCTTACAGTTATTTTCAATTAGAAAATTTTTTCAAACTTATTCACGACTCAGTGAACCGGTATATATGGCCTTAATTGTAAATCTATTTTCAAATATTTTGAAGTCCCAAAAGTTTGCATGTTAAAAACACTAAATTTTTAGCTGACAAAACAGTTACGCATATAGTGCATACATGAATATTATACGTCCAATATTCTGATTCATACTGTCCACATTCTTTCAAATGCAATTTCCATATTTTTGGTTGCTGTACTGGTTGATAAGCTCCAAGACAAAGATGTTCATCTGTCTTTATTTGACCTTCTTTAGTAAATAACCAAAGCTAAAAGTACTATCGCTTTTTAATAATTACTACTTTATCAATTTCTGTATTTTATCTCACAAGGCTTATCTGCTAGTATAGTAATAATGACATTTAACCCAACTACTGAAAAAGTTCACCTGCCATATATCAAAGCCAAGAGTACAACCAGCCAGTGTAATGCTACCTTGCTTGGCACCAGGTTCACCACTTCGAGCTAGCAAGCAATTTCCCGTAATTCTGTTCGAAATCTGAAATTATGCAAAAATTTCCAAACCTCAGTACGATCGAAAGATTGCAATTTGGAGCAATTATGCATCGTTGCTACTCTGATACTTTCCCCAAATGGAATCATCCAGTACAAGCATCCATTAAGTGCTTCCCTTTGCGATTTGGAATGAATTACCTAAAGAATAGGTTCTTTTTTGATAAGTAACCTAATTTATCTAAATCAAAATTTTTACTCTTTCTGCGTAATTCTTTTTTTTTTTGAACGCATAAAAATTTCAGAATTAGGTATTAATTTATCGGGAGAATTTTACAAAACTCTTTTACTGGCAAAAATTTATGGAAAAACATGACTAATTTTTGTCGACCTATCTAAATCTGAATAGAATGTATTGCATAGTTTATTGCAACTATACACTACGATCATTTCAGTGATTTGAAGTTACATAAGCTTCCGTGCTATAAAACAAACCCGTCCAAAAGTGTTTCCAGGTAGTGGAAGGAAATGATCTGTCCAGACATTATCAAGAAACCATTTGAAACTTTTGCAATTTAAACGTTTTCTAAGTTCTACGCGGCTACTCACGTCAGTTGCTTCACGCATTTTATATGCTTCTAAAATGTATCAGAGTAAAAAGTTAATTAGTTGAAAAACTATGTTTTATATGACATATTATTTTCAGAAATTTGGTTTTAGTCTCTGTATTTTAAAAATTGTATTTTTTTAAGACTTAAAACATATTTTTAAATTTGCTATATCCATTCAAAATACCAAAAAAAATTTACGAGGTGCCATCTTGTAAAAATAAAATTTCCATTCATCCATCCAAACTTCGGCTACACGCAATAAATTACTATTCAGAATTATTCCAGATTTGCGTCCCGGAAAGTCATGAGGAGAAGATCGGCGAAAGACGTGACCTACGTGAGAACAGGGCAATATCTCAATTTGTCCACCACATTGCCAAATCTAGCATCAATATTTTAGAATAATGACTTGATATTTATTCAATTATTCATCAAATGTCGAAAGTAGTTAAAAATTTATTTTTAAATTAAACAAATATTGTAGAATGTAGCTAAAATTATACATGAATAAGATGATACTAATATTCAAATTAGCAAATTAGATCAAGTTTTACCGCTACTTTTTATACTTTAAATTTTCAATAAGTAACAAAAATCAATGGAATCATTTTTGAAATATATTCACTACTTTTTCCTTTTCTTATGACTAAAGTTGATAGCTTTTTGCAGATTTTTCAGTAAAATAAGTTGTAACCAACTCTTAAAGATATTTCAATATTTTCGCCACCCCAAATATCCATTTCAGGATCGTAAGTGCCAATTTCTTCAAAATATTTTCGATCAATGCTAAACAATCCCCCAGCCATCATTGGAGATCTGAAATTCTATTCAGTAGTAATAAGCATATAAATAAAGCTATTGTACAAATTTTTTAAGTTTATTTTATAATTTTTACAAAAGGTTGAATTTAGGAGGTAAATAAATGGAATATTATTTGTAGATTACTTTGAGGAGATAACCTCTTTTTTAGGTAGAGCGAAGCAGAAACAAAAAGTCTATAATTTGCATATGATATTTTGCTGACATATATTAATTTATTATAATTCAAACTCTTATTTGATTTTTAAAATCAAACAAATCTCATTAAAAAGTGAAAGAGATTTGGTAGATGTTTAAAATATACGCAAATTTTAATAGCTTTCAATATGATTATATTTAGTTTGAAGTGAAACCACCAACGCAATTGGCTTTGTTGGGTCATCTCTACGTAATTTTACCATTTCTGGTGGCACAGCATACCATCGAAATTGCAGATTCCAGTTGAAACCACCGCGGAACAATTCAATACCTTTCTGATATGCAAATGTCCGCTCATTGATTACATCAATTACTGGACAAACTACTGCTTTTCTGCAATATAAAAATTTAATAATGTAGAAGAAAAATCTTCGTATTATAAGTGTTAATTAATGTTGGTATAATTTGAAAATTTTTTGAAATATCTTTAGATAAATATATTTAATATACTGTATAATTACCGATTTTCTTTAATTCGAGCCAATAACGGTTCTAACCATCCCTTAGTACATTCGCAATGTGAGTCAAGAAAGGTTAAAACATCACCATTTGCTTCTTTAGCACCAATCAAACGTGCTCTGATCAAACCTATGCGTTGATCAGCTCTGATCACTTTAATATGAATACCTAATCGAGTTACGAATTTGTCAAGCTCATCTTTCAAGAAACCTATAATATTGTATTTCCAACATTAATTATTCAATATTGTTATTACTAAAATATTATTATTATTTATTTAGTTATTAATACTACCATTACCAATAATAACAATAACAATTACATTAATAATAGTACTAATTATATTATTATCAATAATAGTATTATCATTATTAATGGCAATACTGTTAGCAATAAAATGAAATAGTAATCATTTAAAAAGTTCGAAAAGAATAGTGCAATTTAAGTTAATTTTCTTTTAATTTTTTTGGAATTAATAGCAAAGTTAACAAGTATATAGAAAGGAAAAATTTACTTCTTGAACTAAAATCATCGACTAAAATTATTTCCTTCAAAGTTTCAGGTGGTGACCTTGATATGACAGACATGACAGTACGCATTAACGTTGAAAATGCTTCATTGTGAAAAACGATAATAACACTAGTGCTTGGCAGTTCAGAAGCAACTAAAAGTAATCGTTTATCACAGCTGATTTTACTAATTTTTTTATACTTGACATTTTCAATAAATGCTTACAATATTATTAACTGCAAATAATAATTGTAATTAAAATTATATTATGATTGAAAATAATAGTATTATCATTATTATTAATAGTTATTATTAGTATTATTAAATGAAAATTTGATGATTACTCGGATAGCTTTTTGCTCGGCACTGATGTTTGCGAATATCAGGCAAAGTTCGATTCACAGATATTCGATCGCTCACTAATAAATTGAACTGAAATTTTCTCCTAATTACTGTAATATAATAATTAATTTCAGCTATATCATAATTTTAATTCTTTTGTAAAGTTTCGATGGAATTAAAGCACTTTGAATAACTTTGAAATCTTTTCTGAATTCTTTAAAAAATTTGTGATTCAGACAATTTAAGTTTTGTATGCTTTATCTGAGCCTAAAAATGATTTTTGTGCAATATTTTTGGAATTCTTTTAAGTACTACTTGATTGATTCCATAAGTATCTTCGGAAAGACGTTCTTCAGCATCACTTAATTTCACAGGTCGTCCACCTTCGCCAGCACCAGAAATCGGCGCATAATTATTAGCATTTAATTGCTCTAAAAAAATGTAATTCACTAAAATTATAAAGTTGAAGAAATATAATAATTATCTGTTAATTAATTCCATAATTAATACTTTCTAAATTGAAGAAATTTCGTTTAATGAGCAAAAAAAGTTAAAAAAAAAATTGAAACAGCCATGATAAATCTGACATGACCACCAGCGAAAACCAGCTTCAATAAGTTAAGATTTACCTGAAGTTAAATTAGCTAATTTTTCTCTAGCGAGATTTCCGTTGTAATGACCAACAATCACTTGTATCCCTTGACTTCTATGCAAATCACGCTCTGTTGATACTTCGTCAACATTTGCAGTTATCTAAATTTACGTTTATATTTGAAAAATTGCGTAAAATACTGCATTTCTACATTAATTTTTGAATTGCTGACTTTTATTATCTATTTTAATTGCATATTTTTTACTATATTTGATCAAAAAAATGCGCAAAAATGACGCTGAAAAAACGCTTTCGTCTTTTTCGCAAAAAATGACGCTTTCGTTTCCTATAAATTTGATGCAGTATTTTTAAATATTTCAAATAAATATTTTTTTGAGTCATAATTTTCCTTATCAACTTGAGCACTAATTACCAGATAACTTATTTTACAAATTTATTAACTTATACAAATTAGCAAAGGTTTATTCATACAAAAATTAAAAATTAATGGAAATGAACATTTTTTTAATGAAAAAATTTGAAAAAAAATCTAACTTTGTTTTGTATTATCAAAATGGTAATTGTCAGTAAGCACCAACATGTCACAAAAGCCAAAATAAGCAAAGCAGCAAATAATAATTTACGTAGTTTACGTTTGCGCGGGCTACGTAATCCACTGATATACATTAGAATTAGAAAGGACTAGATATTAAAACTGCCATTTCCAGTGATCAAATTATTGATGTCAATTATATCAAAGAGTTATGAAAAAGAAAGAGATGGGACAGCAAGGGCTGAATACCTCTACAGAAGTAATAATATTGAAGTTGAAGGACGATAGTAATATTCTTTTCATTCAGAACATTCTGCAAATAAAGTTTGATATTTTTATACTAAAATATTAGATTGATAAAAAATACAATTGATCAAACTGGATATGGTTAATAGGATTGAAATAAGTAGTAGATAAATAAGTAATCAATAATATAATGATAATCTAATCTAAAATAGTGATAAAATCAGTGATTTGAAAAGTTATCCAAAGAATATCTGCAAGAAAAATGCAATTTTGATAAGAAATAATCGCTAGAAACAAGTTTGAACTTTGTGGCAAAGAATGCGATTACAAAAATTGAAACAATTCAAAATTATCAATTTTTTCTTAAAAACATTTTCAGTAATGAATTGTGAACATTTTTAAGAAAATCGCAACTCTTTTCAATTCTTTTAAAATATGTCACACTGAAAAGAAGTACTGAAAAAAAGCATCTAAACAAATATTATCAGACTGAAAACATAACAGGTTAAAGTAGGCAAAAAGTATTTGTATTTATTATATAAAATATAAAAATCATTAAAAAAATATATTTATTAAATTATATACGAATTTAAAATATGTAAAAAATGAATTTCATATATGTTAAATATATTTATTAAAATATCAATTTATTAAAAAGAAATGTCCACTTTAATTGTGTTCTATATATTATTAAAATATCAATTTATATTTATTAAAATATCAATTTATTGAAAAGAAATTTCCATTTTAATTGTGTTCTATTAGTAGTGTATTAGTTTAATTATTTTAAATAGTTTTTAATAAAATTCAAAACTTCTTCTTAACGTATTTACCTTTGCAATTAGGTAGGTAATATTTATTTAAATGCTTTTTTTTTGCAATAATTCTTTTCTTTTCAATATGATATATTCTAAGAAAGTTAACATATTTTGCTACTTTAAATGAATAATAAATCAAAAATTAAAAACATTTTTTCACTTCAAATATTTTAGATAACGAAAATACAACCATAACTTCATTAGCCTTTTATGGTCAATCCCATGCGCAAATTAGTTGTCTATGCTTAATTTTAACTATGCAATTGTTCAGATTCTTGCAAGTTTTTTTCATCAAAAATATCCTTGAAAAATCATTCTTTATGCAGGTATTTTTTTGAATCATTCAAAAAATCGAAACAATTTATGAAAAATAATTTTTTAATAATTTCAATCAGATAATTGATATGAAAAGCAAGTAATCTGTACATATGTATTGGATTTATGATATGAGCAATAAAAATTACTGCTCAAGTAATTTGCAATCAGAATTTATTAGGAAAAAATTTAGTCAAATAAGCAAGTGACAATTAATAACAGTTTGAAAAAAACTTAAATTTTTACTTCTTTGTCTGCAGTGCCTTAAAAAACTTAAAAAAATGAATTACTTAAAATACTCGAATTAATAAAATTTTTAACGAAATTTGAGGGGAAAGAAAGGAATGAAACTAAAATTTAAAATCGAATTTGATTAATTATTTATTCAATCTTTTTCTTTCAATACTGACAGTAACTTTTTTTAAATTACAAATGATCACAACAAATTTTCGACAAAAATTTAAAAAAAAAGAAAAACAAAACAGAGGCCAACGCAATGCGATTGACACCAATAATAAAAGTAATCTCGAAAAAATATTGAGAAAGCAATTTATTTTTTTTGTAATTTGAACTACAGTAAGCACTAGAAATTGAAATCTTGATCTAAATGAAAATTCTGTGCAAAATAAATCACTCATGATTGGATATGAATCATAACTTCTGCTGTTGTACTATAATGTTTCATTGACAGCTATAAATTAGTAGAGAACGTTAAAATTGATAAATTTTTGTGAAAAAAATAAACTCGCCGTAAATTAAAAATAGATCATTTTGAGTGATTAGCTTCAACTTACTTCAGTTGTTGCAAAAATACTCAAGTATTGAATCAGGTTACAATGATCTAGGTCACAATGTACCTATGCTTCGATTATACAAAAATGAAGTATATAATTTTGAATTATTTGAAAGATCAAGTACATAAACGGACAACAATAAGGAATAATCATGCCATATATACATAATATGAACGTACTGTACGAAATCTGATATCATTTGTAAGACTTGTAATTATCGTGAAGAAAGCTCAACATTGTCTGAAATGGAATATAAATCAGTCTTAATTATTGAAACACTGAATATAAAAGTCCAAAATATTAAAAGGTCAATCAAAAAATAAATTAACAAAATTTTCTGAACAAGCAAAATTTTTTTTTCATGTATAAAAGTTAAAGGTCAAACAAAAACGTTGCCCAATAGGTTTTTTCCAAGCTCAAATAGAATATTCGAAATTTGCTAAATTTCACACAAAATTAACAAATCTGCATAAAAATGAAATTTGGCTATTAAAAAAAGTATTTTGACAGTACTTTACATTTAACATTTGTTTTTGTACAAAGTGACAAAACTGTGTATAAAATTTAAATTTTTGAATATGTAATAATAATTGAAACAAATTTGATTACTTTTGCATTAGATATGAAGAAATTACATTTGCTTATTTACTTTTAGAGTTAATATATTTAGGTAATGCTTATTCAAAAGTTGCCAAAATCTTCGTAATATTAATTTTAAGCATTTCATTACTGATTGAAATAATTAGAGTTTATACAAAAATGACCAAATCTGATTTTGTCTTTTACGATTGTTCGAGAATTTATGATAAAAACCATTTAAAAAAATCATAAAATGATGTATATTTTCATATGTCAATTTTCTAGATGTACAAGCACACAACATGACAATATTCTGAGGTTAAATTAAAGTGCTTTGGATTATTCGAAAGTAAAATTTTGGTGAACTAAACTAGCATAAATGTTCAAGTGTAAGTATTGGTTATAAGTGCTCAGGGGAAGTTAATGGGGTTACTGGAGGTCACGTCTGGACATTTCATTTAATTCAATCACATAAGTGCATAATTATACTTCTTAATAGTCATAGTGAGAGCCTTTTACCAAAAGAATCACTCTTTCTGAGAAAAAAACGTAGATTCAAAAAAGCCGTTTTTAATAAAGACGTACAGTCACTGATGATTTATGCTTAGAAACACATTTGGCATGACAGTTTTACTACAGACATTGAAAAAAATGGAGAGGCAAATGAATTGATAGATAAATAAACAGATCAATAGATAGGGAGATAGATAGATAGATAGATAGATAGATAGATAGATAGATAGATAGATATACTCGTCTTTTTATTTAGGAGTTATAAATGACTCTCTCAGATTTGAACGTTTACCGTTACATACAGCAATAAATTGTGTTTTTAAATATCTGACTACTGCTTGTATATATGTACAAAATGAGGTTAAAGGAATAAATTTTGGAGTAAAAGAAAGAGGCAGTTTATAAATTGGTGTTAACAGAAGTGATGGCAAAGCGAGAAATTTTTATCCTTCACATAAATGCATTGCAAATTTATTGTGTATTAATTTATTCATGCATTCATTCATTCATTCAGTCAGTCAGTCAGTCATTCATTCATTGATTCGTTGTATGAGTAAGTCGAGATTGAGGTCAACAGAAGGAAAAATTGAGCATAACAATGTCCTAAAATGGACAAATAAATAACCAGCAATGGCACCAGCAGGCAACAAAATTACACTTTACACATTTCTTTCTACTAAATTGTATTTACATAAATATATAAAAGTATACTGCCACATGAGCGTTACTTCAATCGTACGTGTATATACTTAATTATTACGCGATAAAATTTATTTACATCACAAAAATTAGCATGTAAAATAACTCTTACACAAGTGTACTTCACGTATATTTCATACACGTATTTCATATTTCATACACAAGTGTACTTCAAAACTCACTATGAATGCGTTATTTGATTACACAAACAATATGACACAACGTGAACGTGATGAATATTAAAATAATACCAAAGCAGTAATCAAAATAAAAATTAGTAGAAAGAATAATTATTCAAAAGTTAAAAATAGACAAATTTGGAAGAATTGCCAGTCTGTGTCAAACGTAATGAATAAATCAGCTGAAATTTCATGAAGAGCGAAGATTGAACTGAACTCAATAATGTCTTTGTGTGTACTGATATGTGCAAATGTATCTATCATCTCATCTATACGTGACGAGTGCGCCCTGTATGGATAACAAACCTGCTTTGGAATCTGCAATGATATGATTTGTTGGATCGGAAATATCCAAATTCTTTGAAATATAATTTTTGCTGAATAATTTAATAAATATTGTTTGATTTATTCTTTATTACACTAAAACGATTTTCATTAAAAATTAATTAATAATACAATAAAACCAATAGTTGACAAAGATAACCATTTCATACTTATTTTTCTCTACTAAATATTTTTTTTAAAATTACTATTATAGTAACAAAAAATTATTATTGCAAACGTCAATAGTTCACATTCAACAAAAATTTTCACTTATTGAATGGTTGATCGTTATCATTTTAGCATCTGTAATGAATATTTGTAAAAAGTATTTGCAATAAGTAAATATGACTAACTTCAATGTCTTATTTTCTAAAATTCTAACACCAAAGAATCAAGTCAAGGCTAAATCTCTCTCTCAAAAAGAATTCCTTTCAATTTGATTATAAATTTTCAATCAATTCATTAAAAGTTTCTTTCAGTAAGTGTGTAACTTTCAATTTTGCATAATTAAATATTAATTTGTTCTATTATTTCATTAAAGTTTTTTCTTTTTCATTTATTTTAAATTTACAACTTTATTCAGACATTTATTCCATTCGTTAATTCAAATTCAAAGTTTTTCTTCACTATTTCATATTCAAATTTGAATCAAAATCAAACACTTTTA